ATCTCAGGAGTTACTCGAGCGATTGATCTTCTTAAGACACACACCAGTCTCTTTCCAGTGGCCACCTTCTTCAACGCCTCCTGCGTCGTTCTAAGTTCAGGAGTCACGATAACCCCGAAATCTCCCTCGTGGGTGATATTCCTGAGAAGTAACCCACCAATGTGGTATGCACTGTACGGTTCAGTGCAACCCATTGGAAGAACAGCGCAATGATCTCTGTTTACTGGCAATTCCCACTTGCTGGACCATTCGTGTAGCTGTTCAAGAGCACCTTGTAATCTGTCCGCATCCTCAGTGCTGGATACTGTTGACCATAGCTTTAGGTCATCGGCGTAGATCAAGCATTTATTTCATTTATTTACTCAAAGCTGAGAGTATTCCGCGGTAACTTGATTTTTGGCGTGCTCTACTGATTCTATTTCTAGGCTGAAGTATCGTTAAAAACAGTTTTAAATACACCCTGGGAACAGGAGTCGACTGCTGTCAAATTTATTCATACCCCAGCGAAACATTGTCATCAATCGTTTAGATTTTCCCAAAGGAGTCATAAACCGCTCGATGGTCATGCAGTGCAGGGCTTGCAAGGGCTGGCTGCATATTCATTGCTGTAATATTGAAGCCACTTTTTATGAACACCTAGAACGGAGTTAAATCCTTTGTTGTTGCCTTCATTTGGGATGCAAGCCAAGCCGCTAATATGGCTAAGAGCAGTGGTGCTTTGTTTATTCGTGCTCAGTCCTGTGGCCCACGAACGGTATATAAAGCTAACACGCGCCTGCCACTTGCTGGGTTTAGCTCGAAAACAGCGAACAACGGTCTTAGCTGCGACTCCACTGCCTCTTCGCCGAAGAACTGACACCTAGCAAACTTAACCTTCAGCCTAAGAACAAAATAAGAAGACCTCAACGCCCAAGAGTCGCCGGAATCCGCTAGCGCCCAACGGAAACTCGCTATGGATAGAACTAATCAGTTGGATTATTCTGGTGAGGTTGGATTCTCAGCACGACGGAAACCGACCACCTCTCGAGTCGTGTTTGATCTTTTTCAATGTGCTTAAATCTGACAAGATACCTTTGCAAAGGATTTTGTACGACCAAGCATGTTTAAAGCGCATTTTCTCTCTTCTGTTTGACAATGGGGAACATGGGCTTACTGCTGTCTCCGCTTTTTACATTAGCAGAAGGCAGGTGGATGCTTCCAAGGTTTTTCCCCTAAAATAGTCTGCCAAGGAAAAGCCGATTGCCGCCGTATTCTTAAGCTGACTTCGAGGCTCAAAGAGGAAACATTTTATATCTTCGAGGATCAGTCCGCTGGACTGGAAAAATTAAGATGGCGTCCGATGAGTTTAGCTCTCGACGAGGAAACGGTGAAACAAACCTCCACCTTGTGGATTTCCGCTTTGGGCAGAGAACCCCGAGAATTAGATGGTGGCCGATCCTTGTCTTGCCAGGGGTGCAAACCAAGGCCGGTACCTGAACTTCGAGTGTCATCTACTAATGTTTGTCGCATAAGGAACAAATGGGTTGAGATGCTCTCTGTCACCTCAAAGCTTTGCCCTGAACTTTTTAGTTTTATTGAGTCCTGGCTAACTCCCAATACACTTAATAACGAAGTCAATATCCCAGAATATCCGTTTGCTCGGGCTGATCGCCATGGGGTGGAGACTGGGGGCGGCGCCATCTTTTACCGGAGATCATACCTAAAGTTTCACGGTATCGAGACCATTAGTGCTGGCGGTTTAGCAACAGCATGATATCTGGTCTATTAGGGGGGCAAACCCCTCACTACCGGAGCGGTGTACAAACCCCCGTGGAGAAACGTTGTCCGCGTTCTGGACTCAGTCCAAACCTGTGGGAGAAGCACGAACTACCTAATTGCGGGAATTGCAATGCACTGGCTTTTGATTGGGATCCACTAAACTGCCAGCTCTCGCCTAAATACTTCTTCAGCATAATTTTTATAGCCAACCTAATGCAGCACGCCTCTACGTGTACCAGCCTACTACCGGGTCAGCCACGGCACATTCTCGATCCTGTTCTGAAAACGACGCTAGCTGAAGTCTCCGATCAAAATACTCCCGATCAATCGGCAATAGTGCTTACTGCACAAACTTCTTCGTTTGGATGCACTACTTAGTCACTCACAAGCGGAAAGTCTATAGTCGAAACTTATGGCGCACCATTCCTTTTCGGCTGGAGATAGTGGCTAGCACCCAGGAATGGACCATCCCTTATGGTCTAAACTTTTATGGAGCCTAGGATCATCTAAGCACCAAAATGAAATTGTACCTTGCACAGTTGCCTCTAAAGCTAGAAAGCAACCCCGCGCGAGGCCCCCACATGGACGGATGGAATACTGCGGCACCTATAAAGCAGCGACGAAAAATATGAGATAAGCTCAAGCCCTTTCAACAGACTTCTGCTTACTCCAACTATGGGACAATTATAAACATGTGCTCTGGGAAAAACGTGAGTAGAGGCACACCTTTGAGCCATATCTAACAAAACAATCGTCCTCCAGGCTAAACATGTACGCTTATCTTAACAAAAGTCCTAAAGTCCATTGTAGCATACCCGCTCTGTCATCCAACGCAACAGGAATCGCCCACTATGAATACGATGGTATATTGAACCTATTTGACCGGCGCTACTCTTCTGTATACTCGCCATAAGCTCGGTCAATCAATGTGCATGCGTCCCCACTGCCCAAAACTTATGGAATTCAGGCCGGTCCCAATTTTGGAACTTCTTGTTAAACCAAATCCGAAATCCTAACCTAGCCCTGAATATTTGCATCCCTTTTCCCCAAGCCAGTGGTTGGCTAGGATGCGTCACCAATCTGCCACGTATTTCGGCCGATTTTTCAGGCTTGTCTTTTACCCATCGACTTGGAAACTGGGATCGTAATGCCTAAGTACAAAGGTAGCAATCATAGAGACCCTGTGAACTACCGTCAATCAGCATAACATTCGCCGTCTGTCAAGTCATGGAAGAGATCAACAAAAGCACTGTACAGAAATGCTGCGACGAGAAGAACACCACTTCCTCTACCCAGCATGGTTTCCGGAAAAGACGATCCTGCTCCACTAACCTACTAATGGCGAGAGAAATGGGCGAGGTCGCTCGATCCTGGCCAACACATAGTGGGGGTTTTCATTGTTCAGCACAGCATTCGACACCATCCCACACCAAGAACCCCTTTGGAAGCTTAGGGAAATTGGCAGCAGTGGCGACCTTCACTCGTGGAGTACAGACCTGTTGGAAGGTCGGACCACGCAAGTGAGAGTGAACGAAACGCTTTCCAAGTCAGAGCTCATGACAAGCGGTGTACCACATGGATCCGTTCTTGTACCTGAACTGTTCAAACTGTAAATCCATGATCTTCTGGCAACACTACAAATTGGACGTTGTTCTACGCTGTTGAACTCAAGCTGGGGCCTGAAGTACCTGACCTTGACGCCGCCGATCGACTGCAGACGATCCTTGCTCTGATGCACAACTAGTCCATCCACTGTGGCTCACCAATGAAGTACGAAACATGCTGCGCCCTACAGAGCAGTGCTTATGAGCTACTTGTAACATCGCTTTGCTGGATCCCTTCTCAAACACGCCGCACAAGAGAAAGACCCTGGCGTAATACTAACACCTGATCTAAAACCACACAGCACACGTTGGAAAATGTGCCTTTGAAAACAGGTTGTGCTATGACATAAGAAGATACTTCTCTCGAATAACACCGAAGATCTTCAGGCTTCCGTTCATTTCTCACGTATAACGGATGCTACGATATAGGCTGCCAGCTATATTTCCATAGTTTTGAAGGAGCCTCATCAAAAAGGTCCAGAGGGGTGGCTATAAGTCCGTTTCCGGACTTCGTGCCCTTCCTAGCCCCATCTTCATGAGATGAATAAATATATAAATATTTTATTCTCGACAAAGAGAGGCACGCCTTTTGGGAATGACCATGAGCAAAAGGCGTGCCTCGCTTTGTTGAGAATAAAATATTTTATTTATTTCTTTATCATCATATTGCATTTTACATGGTAGCATGGGTAGCGGGACCAAGTGTGCGCGTAGTACAGACGGAGTCAGTTGCGTGGGCCCACACAGCCTAAAGGTTGCATGAAGTCTATCTCCACAGAATGCGAGCGGTAAGCACCACCTCCTTAATGTGGAGTATGTTGATGAGGAACTAGTTCAATGAGGTTGTGTACGCAGTGCGGGCCAGGTGAGTGAAGCACAAGGAAAAAGCTTCAAAGCTATTTTAAGAATAGTGTCATGTCACTGATCAACTATGTAGGCGTAGTCATACGAGTGCAGATATATTCACAGAATTAGTGAAATATGGTATGGGTCAACCTGCTAATGCGTGGTTGGGGCAGTGAGTTTATGGAGTGGCCAATCACATCCGCCACGTAGCCGTGTTGTTAACCAGGTATTTGTGGCTATTTGTAGAGAAAACGCTTGCCAGGCAATAACTCACTACATCCTGGGACACTGGCGACAAACGAATAGGTTTTCTATGTAATACCGTCGCTGTTCTGAAGAGTACATCTTTGCGGGCGCATACTAAGCAAGGAACTTGGGACTGAGCTACAGCAACTTCCTCAGCTCAACGTACGTGGTTTTACAAGAGGTCACAACTGGAAACTATTCAAGGGGTGCTGGTTCAAAGTCGGCACTGCTGTCGCCCTCTGCCCTGGGGAAGTTAATGACCGGAAGCGCCTTACGGCGACTGTTATTGGAGCGACGACCGAGGAAACCTTTAAAGGACTATTAGCTACGCATCCCCGCAAGACGCCAAGGCCGCACAGACATACCGCGACTGTTCAGGTTCCCTAAGGACTACCGGGTCACACTGACATACCTGGTCTCGGTTCAGAATTGGAGCTAATGTGGCTAACACCGGTCCTACCTGCCTTCTACAACTCAATGAATTTAATGGATGTATGACGTTGTATGTTTTTGCCTATACCAAATCTATTTACGGTTGACCCTAATTCATGAATTATCCGGGCTCTTCACTCCCAGCTGTTAGATATCAATAAGTCAAAAGCAATTGTTTTGTATATTTATTTGGTTATGTTAATTTATATACTGGCTAATGTACAATGGAACTTGCAAGTAAATTCATCACTTTTGCTGTCAGAAATCTAACTCCTCGTCATGTTCAATTCAGAATCTACCACCGTTTGTTGCCCACGCGGTTAATAAGCTGTTCAGCGAATTTTAGGAAGTGGGTGTGCCGCCAAGCTGATGTTTTGGTATCTTGGATAGGTGATAGATATTTTAAGTTCGCCGAAGTCCCCATGCTTCAAAGGATAGAATTACCTAGGCTCATTGGTTCCTTGCTTCATTAATTAGTAGAGAGCATGAAAAATTTCTCTAGTCAGCTACATCGCTTCCCGGTCCTTGCGCAATGTAAGCTTCGGAGAAGGCCGTCACAAGTGTATCAAAAGCAACACGAACCTAGCATCCTCAACAGGTGGGAAACAAGTAGCCACTTGAGACAATCCTCAGTCTGCGCAGCAACGATGGCGCCGGTAACCGGTTTCAGTCCTTTACAACGCGAGTGGATAGAGCAGGGATGATCTGAACTTTGATCTTCTCTGGGTAGAATAATTTCCATCGGTGGCCTTCAGTCAAACAACTAACTCGGAATAAAAGCAAAAAAGGGAAAACTAGAGTATCCAATGCATGGAACATGTAACCGGCTAGGTTAGGGGGTAAGGTCAGGTACGTACGACAGTTACGGTGGAGTATTCGGACGTAGAGAGCAAAAGGAAAATTCCTTGTCAGCCCCAGCTCGTCAAGTTCGTCAAAAGGATCAAGGTTGATGTCAACAGTCCGTAATCATGGAACTGCTGGTTTGAGACAAGAAGCAACAAGGTCCTCGGTTACTCATCAGGTGAGAATCCTATCGATATTTGACGCGTTCATCCGACTGCCCATCGACGACATACACAGATTGTTGCACACTTTGATTACTCTGGTAGACAGAGGGCCTTCACAACGGACCCGAAACCTCCGTCGTTTAACCAAGTTCCAAGGGTGACCACGCTTCGAACTGTAGGAGGTAAGTGGAAAGAGATCCCACAGCTCCTCCTTAAGTTTACTTCTAACGGTACGTAGTTTGAAAAACAAGTCCCAGTGTTACACTCAACTCTCGAAAATAAGCTAAGGCGAACATCTTTAGGCGTTGAAAACGAAGTGAGTAAGGCAGGATTCGTACCACGAGTATGGAGAAAGATGCCCTCCGCTGAATATTCTCATTCAACTTGCTTTCAAATTTGAATTAGGGATAGACAGTGGGCAGTCTATACGCAACCATCGGGTGCACATGAGCAGCGACCACTAGCCTGAACACCTCCAGGGTCAAGCGTTAGAAGGGTGGTCCTATGGTAAAAATAATCCTGTTGGTAGAAGCGGCATTCCCCAAGGTATCTTCACACGATTTCAGGTTTCAGGGGCAACGTTGACTCCATGAACCATATTAGAGTTTGGCGGCAAAAGCGCACCAGTATGACAAGTTCTGAATGATTCAGGGGGCATCTACCGGAAGCACGGTGCCTTTAGCGTGGTTTAAGTGTAAACGGCACCTGCTCGTGTGAGCAAGTAGCGAATCGCGCCTTGCTTTATCTCCAAAAGAGACTACCATCCAAAGCTTTAAGTTGTCTGCGTAACTTATACAGTGTGTCTATATTATGGACGTCAGGTCAATATAAAAGCGTCTAAAAACTTCAGGGCCTGGGACAGAGCTTTGCGGAGCACCGCTGATTATATTTACAGTGAAGGAAAAGATACGTTTAATTCCACACGGAAAGCGCGGCATGCAGTAAAGCAGTGAGCCAAGAGAGGATTTTTCCCGATCACCAATAATAAGAAGTGTGCTGAGCAAAATTTCGTTTGCACATCGGCCGAAGCTTGCCTAAAATCCACAATTACAGCATCTAGTCGCTTACCAGTATCCATAGTCTTAGCCCCCTTTCTCGAGCTACCAGAAGATTGGTGAGCCATGAAAGCGAACCAGGGAACCCATGCTGTGCAGCTGAGACCGTCTTGAAGTTCTGAAAATGCCGATGGTAAGCTCGATTTAGAGGCCCCTAAATAACCTCACAAACAACTGATGTTGGAGCGAGCACCCGAGAATTTGCGGCATCATGTCGAGATTCTTCTTTGTATATTGACTTCACTACGTCAAACATGCATATGCCAGCCTTGCATTTGTGCGGCAGCAATATAACATTCGAATGTTATATCGCTGCCGCAAAATTGCACGCATCTCCTGCAACCGACGAAACGTTTTCATTAAGTACAACACCATGCGGTCCTGATCACCTGCTAGCCTCCGATTTCGCACATACATCCAGGGCTTCCTAACGTGAAAACTGTGCGAATGCCAAAGAAATGCATTCCCAATCTCGTGACATTCGCCAGCAGGGCAATTGTAACAGCGGTACCGGTAGTAAGCTTCTCATCAGGCAGACAACATTCACTTACCGCTTTCCAGCAACATTGCTGCGCTTCCGATGCACACATACACATAGAATATACCGGTACGGGCATCCTTCCGGTAGCACCTGTCCGGTCTCCCTCTAGTACGTCTTCGCAGTTATAACCTTCCGACCAATAAACAATGTTGCCGTTTTAATCTGAAACACTTTCAGATCATCCTTTAGCGACGCGAAGTCCAGATAAGGACCATTAGTTATACGTCGGAATACAAGCGGGTCACCCACAATGGCTGCTACGCGTGAAGAGGGAAAATGATTAACCATCGTAACGCATTTAAACCACTTAGTATACTGATTATCAATTGAAGTCAGCATTTCAACAAGCATCCTAAATTAATAACAAGCATTCCCATGCGTTCTAGCCCCCAAATTTACCTCCAACCACCTACAACCGTGTTTACCGAAATCACATTATCGAAACATCATTAATTCCAAGTGGTGGATACGACGCTCCGTTAGATTTGCGCTATTGTGTAGCTCCTTTGAAACTGCGTTTCCTCAGGCACACCTATCAGGTTTTTCCGTTATAGCTTGTTTGTTACGTGTGTATTCATTTTCAGCATGTTGCGTCGAAAGTTATCATTTAAATGCACGGTTTCCGTCTCGTCGCACCATTTACCGTGCAGCAAAAGAATAACATCAGGAGTTAGCTACGAAGAAGTGCTTCTGTTGCCAACAGCTAAAAGACAGAAGGGCAAGAGGATTTTTAACATATATGAAATATAATTGCTTACACAGTTCAGCCATCTTATAACATTACAAACTGCTATGAAAATGACAGGGACCCCGATGAATTGGTCCATAACTTGTGAAAACTGACTGCTAAATCTCAGGTACCAGCGTCCATTGTACGTCCACTGTTGGGGCTTGTGCAACCGCGGATTCCATTTTTGCCAAAGGATTACCGGACGCTGATGCGAACCCCACGGAACTCCCGCATACGAGTTGTTGCACCTGGCACTTACGGTCCCGTAAGTCTGCCGAGAGGTTTACAGTGTGCGTACTCTGTTGTTTCGCTCGCGGAGGATGACACTGTAGACTATCAGTTGCATATTGACGGATTTAAACCTATTAATGCATCCAAGTTGCATATATCACCGATCTTGTGCCGTGTCATAAAGCCAGTGGTCACAAAGCCATTCATTGTTGGTGTTAATGGTGGGACCTCAAAACGGAGTGTCGTGGACGATTATTTGCACGACGCAATTTACGAGATCCGTTTTTTGCAAAGCGAAGGATTATTCCACCTGCAAGTCGTTATATGTGATACCCCTGCACGCCCTTATGTGAAACGCGAGAAAGAACACTTGGGTTGTTACAGCTGTGACAAATGCACCCAAAGTGGTGAGTATATGAGCCGCAAGATGACATACCAAGTTACGGATAGCACACTGCGGACTAATGCATCCGTTCAAAGGAATATCAGCCAACCGTCGCCTTTCGCTGCTTTGAGTGTAGATTTGGTTGAGGACTTTCCAATTTACTATATGCATTCAGTATGTTTGGGTGTAATGCGCTGAAGGATAAAAATCTGTCTCACTTCGCCCGTGGACAGTGGATTTCGACTGCGCAGGGAGCAACTGATTTTAGCAAACAAACGGTTACATGACTTCGGACCTTCTTGGACATCGGACTTTCCACGTAATCTTCCATCACTGAATGAATACCGAGTTTGGAAGGCAACTGGTTTGCTTCAGTTTTTGCTATACGCCGGACCAGGGTGTTTAATCGGGGTATTGCCTGAGGCTTTGTATCATAACTTTCTAGACCTCTCATTTGCTATTTATATTATGTGCCACCCTCACCTTCACGCTGCCTTATTGGATTTCCTTATTCCTTTAATTCATGTTTTTTACACGATTACTTTGATCTTTATGGTCCCAGTGAGATGACGTGGAACGTGCACCCACTGGTTTATCAGCCCGCTAACGTGGAGAAGGTGGGGACTTTAGACAGCTTCTCAGTATTTCCCTTTGAGTCGCACTTGTTTTCCATCAAGCGCATGACTCACAATTCCCCGCGTCCATTTGCTCAAATCCTGCGGCGTAAGTCGGAAGGGGAACAGCTTCCTACTACTGTCAGCAATGCAAGCATGAGTGGGAATGTAGACATGTGTACATATAAGGGTCACAAAGCGTTTCGTTTGCATGGCACTTTGTTTTTCACATTGAAGCCGGATAATGTATTCATCCTCGATGCCAAACCCAGAGTGCTCACAGATGTGTCTGTGAATGTATCTGGGAACATGGTTATGCAATGCCGGAAATTTATGAATCTTTGTAGTCTGTCCTCATATAGCATACATTCCTCAACAGCATACATCTTCCTTGCATCGCAATTGCCAACAGATGTTTGTAGCTTTTCCGCCTGTAATCGCTTTTCGTAGCATCGCTTTTCCCTTGAAAGATTTTCTTGTAATTTACCATATGCCTCAAGTTATACACTCTAACAAATGACGCCTTTCTTTTTCAGCACTGATAGCTTTTCAAGGATACAGCGTTGTCAAACTAATTGACTCCGACGATTTAATAACTATTGTCAGCAATACCAAAAATATTTTCCGTGCGCGGTACGCACTATTATGCAGCGGCGAAGAATCACACTGCACCCGATGCCGATGTGGCCAGCTCTGCAGTGTCCACCATCGTTAGTACGAGTAACTTTTTCGGTTATATTAACCCACCTCCTAAGTTAGCTTCCAGCATGCCCGAGAAATGGAACGTCAATCAGAGCGCGGCATGCTGCCAGCCACAGACGATGCTATTCCCATGGGCCTTCCAGCTAAGCGTCCAACGGGAGTATGGTGTTTTTTATTTCCCCTTAGACGCCGGCCCGTCCGTCCTAGCTCCGATGACGAAGATGCCGCGCGTCCCACCAAACCCAAAAGGCCTGCTGCAGCAACATGCACACGTGCGCCCAATTCTCTCTTCAGTGGCATTAGTCCACCACGTCCAGGGACATCAACAAGCAACCGTAAGCATCGTGTTCATACTGCCCCTATTAAACAGTAATCGCGCCGGCTGTTATTTCTGACGTTGCACCATGCAATCTGGAGGTGCTGCAGGAACTGGAGGCCATTAAATGTAAGACGTCACGGGTGCATTGCAGTGCACTCAGCTTTATTTATAGATGAGTTATGCCTCATTCGATCAGAACTGGTCGGCCATCGCCGCATGTCCCAAACAATGGTGCAAATGCTGCAATGACAGTCCCAACGTCTTGCACCGGGACTTTGCCTGCCATCCATCTCTCTCAGTGAGCTTAAGCGATAAGATGAACGGCTCAATGACCCAGATTTCAAAAGCAGAGTGGTAAGTTCGTCTTATCATTACAAGACTTTCAGGTCAACCATTTGTGTGCTGTGTACGGTTATAACACGCAAATTCTCGTCCTAGGTACCATGGAGCGGTTAATGGTGCGGGCAGTTACCGCCGAGATGAATTACTCCTGCGCAGGAGGTTTGTTGGTATTCAGGCGAACAAATATAAACAGCCTTGTACAAGGTAGGTTGACATACAGTAATCCATAAAAACTACACAGGCAGCATTAGGCAACGCATGGGTGATGCAGCCTCGGACGCTGACATTAAACGCCACATCACAACGTGGTTGCATTCTGCACAACACAAGAGACCACCTTTTGAACAAAATAAAGTATGCAACGCGAACGAGGTGAGTTGCAATGATCACGCCGTGAGCAGTTTCAACTTCGTTGCTATGCAGGATATCTGTATGATAACAATGAGACTGTGCGAATCATCACAATTACGACCGACGCGGCCAGCCAGTCAGCGCCACAACATGGTCTTTCCTCGTTGAAGAACCCCCGGAAGTCGCCTGCCTCGAGTTCGTCAATACATTCAGTCAGCTGATTGCACAGGCTTCAGCGATAAAAGCTTGCAATAAGTGTAAAGCAGTTGCTTTCGTTAGCAGCAAAACTCGAAAATGGATGACAGTACCCAGCGCAGCATGGTGAGTGTACAGAGAAGCTCCAACACCAGAACCTTGGGACAACTACGTAGCCCAACGTAACCACTGCATTCAACTGTTAAGAGAAGACAAAGCCGCATATCAGCAGAACATCGCAACAACCTTCAGTGCTAACCACAAACTGCTGTACAAGCCCGTTAATAGCCTATGAAAGATGAGACAAGGATTTCCCCCACTCAAGATGGCTGATGTACCAACAAGAACATCTATGGAAGCTGCAAACGCGCTGCAGATGCAATACGCCCCCACGTTTCAAAGAGTCTTGCCATCAAGCGATCTACCAAGCTTTGTATTTTGCTCACCAGGATGTCCCCCCCCCCCCCCCCCCCCCCCCCCCCCCCCCCCCCCCCCCCCCCCCCCCCCCCCCCCCCCCCCCCCCCCCCCCCCCCCCCCCCCCCCCCCCCCCCCCCCCCCCCCCCCCCCCCCCCCCCCCCCCCCCCCCCCCCCCCCCCCCCCCCCCCCCCCCCCCCCCCCCCCCCCCCCCCCCCCCCCCCCCCCCCCCCCCCCCCCCCCCCCCCCCCCCCCCCCCCCCCCCCCCCCCCCCCCCCCCCCCCCCCCCCCCCCCCCCCCCCCCCCCCCCCCCCCCCCCCCCCCCCCCCCCCCCCCCCCCCCCCCCCACCCCCCCCCCCCCCCCCCCCCCCACCCCCCCCCCCCCCCCCCCCCCCCCCCCCCCCCCCCCCCCCCCCCCCCCCCCCCCCCCCCCCCCCCCCCCCCCCCCCCCCCCCCCCCCCCCCCCCCCCCCCCCCCCCCCCCCCCCCCCCCCCCCCCCCCCCCCCCCCCCCCCCCCCCCCCCCACCCCCCCCCCCCCCCCCCCCCCCCCCCCCCCCCCCCCCCCCCCCCCCCCCCCCCCCCCCCCCCCCCCCCCCCCCCCCCCCCCCCCCCCCCCCCCCCCCCCCCCCCCCCCCCCCCCCCCCCCCCCCCCCCCCCCCCCCCCCCCCCCCCCCCCCCCCCCCCCCCCCCCCCCCCCCCCCCCCCCCCCCCCCCCCCCCCCCCCCCCCCCCCCCCCCCCCCCCCCCCCCCCCCCCCCCCCCCCCCCCCCCCCCCCCCCCCCCCCCCCCCCCCCCCCCCCCCCCCCCCCCCCCCCCCCCCCCCCCCCCCCCCCCCCCCCCCCCCCCCCCCCCCCCCCCCCCCCCCCCCCCCCCCCCCCCCCCCCCCCCCCCCCCCCCCCCCCCCCCCCCCCCCCCCCCCCCCCCCCCCCCCCCCCCCCCCCCCCCCCCCCCCCCCCCCCCCCCCCCCCCCCCCCCCCCCCCCCCCCCCCCCCCCCCCCCCCCCCCCCCCCCCCCCCCCCCCCCCCCCCCCCCCCCCCCCCCCCCCCCCCCCCCCCCCCCCCCCCCCCCCCCCCCCCCCCCCCCCCCCCCCCCCCCCCCCCCCCCCCCCCCCCCCCCCCCCCCCCCCCCCCCCCCCCCCCCCCCCCCCCCCACCCCCCCCCCCCCCCCCCCCCCCCCCCCCCCCCCCCCCCCCCCCCCCCCCCCCCCCCCCCCCCCCCCCCCCCCCCCCCCCCCCCTCCCCCCCCCCCCCCCCCCCCCCCCCCCCCCCCCCCCCCCCCCCCCCCCCCCCCCCCCCCCCCCCCCCCCCCCCCCCCCCCCCCCCCCCCCCCCCCCCCCCCCCCCCCCCCCCCCCCCCCCCCCCCCCCCCCCCCCCCCCCCCCCCCCCCCCCCCCCCCCCCCCCCCCCCCCCCCCCCCCCCCCCCCCCCCCCCCCCCCCCCCCCCCCCCCCCCCCCCCCCCCCCCCCCCCCCCCCCCCCCCCCCCCCCCCCCCCCCCCCCCCCCCCCCCCCCTCCCCCCCCCCCCCCCCCCCCCCCCCCCCCCCCCCCCCCCCCCCCCCCCCCCCCCCCCCCCCCCCCCCCCCCCCCCCCCCCCCCCCCCCCCCCCCCCCCCCCCCCCCCCCCCCCCCCCCCCCCCCCCCCCCCCCCCCCCCCCCCCCCCCCCCCCCCCCCCCCCCCCCCCCCACCCCCCCCCCCCCCCCCCCCCCCCCCCCCCCCCCCCCCCCCCCCCCCCCCCCCCCCCCCCCCCCCCCCCCCCCCCCCCCCCCCCCCCCCCCCCCCCCCCCCCCCCCCCCCCCCCCCCCCCCCCCCCCCCCCCCCCCCCCCCCCCCCCCCCCCCCCCCCCCCACCCCCCCCCCCCCCCCCCCCCCCCCCCCCCCCCCCCCCCCCCCCCCCCCCCCCCCCCCCCCCCCCCCCCCCCCCCCCCCCCCCCCCCCCCCCCCCCCCCCCCCCCCCCCCCCCCCCCCCCCCCCCCCCCCCCCCCCCCCCCCCCCCCCCCCCCCCCCCCCCCCCCCCCACCCCCCCCCCCCCCCCCCCCCCCCCACCCCCCCCCCCCCCTCCCCCCCCCCCCCCCCCCCCCCCCCCCCCCCCCCCCCCCCCCCCCCCCCCCCACCCCCCCCCCCCCCCCCCCCCCCCCCCCCCCCCCCCCCCCCCCCCCCCCCCCCCCCCCCCCCCCCCCCCCCCCCCCCCCCCCCCCCCCCCCCCCCCCCCCCCCCCCCCCCCCCCCCCCCCCCCCACCGCTCATTTACAGGTGTTCATTCCTCAATTATTCGTTGCTATTTTTGCGAAACTTACCCATGTATGAGTCCAACAGACTCACTGGCTTTCCCTGGGTCAGCATATTCTACGCTCCCTAGCGAGTCTTCCCACGCAACAGTTGCATCATAGCAAACTGATCCTGTGTTTTCTTTGCTCAACGGCGCAACGCTCTGTATCCAAGGTATACGGTAGCGACCAACCTATAGGGCTTTGCTTCCGATGAATATACAAAACACTTTTAGCATAATCATTGTTACACATTGTACATCATATGTTTCCTCTAAATGTTAGACCATAGGACATAAATAATGCTTGTTCCCACGTCTGTTCTTTGCGGCCCTGTTTGTCTCTCACCTTCCCTTTCTCCGAGGTCTGGAACTTCTTGGGGATCTGGGATCGGACCGTGAAAGCGCTTGTGCCTGGGACAGTACATAGAAACCCCTAAGGACCTACATAGAACACGGCTGTACAACAAGTGGATAAAACTGCACTCGCTACCATGACCGTCGTCCGGTAATGGTAGCTGGACATGACGCCTTCATACTCCTGCGAAGTATACATAATCGTGAGAAATCTAGACGCAAGAATCGGAAGTTTTGCTCACCTGGACACGAAGATGACAAAGGTCTAACCCTCCATAGGCCTCAGCCATTATGGCCGCCCCGACCAAAAATAACCTGTTCAGCTAACAGAGGAAAGTAGAAGGCAATTGACGGCGGTTAACCGAGGGTTAAATCAGTCGACGAGCTGCTCTGCCAGTTTTACATTAGTGTACAAACGGATTTCTGACAATGTTTCAGGATGTGGTGGGTTTTCGCCTGGCAAGCGTTCTCCCTATAAAAAGCCACAAATGTCCGCTTAACAACACTGCGACGTGGCGGATGCGACTCGCCACTGAATAAAGTCACTGCCCACAACCACATACTGGCAAGCCAACCAGAATCCTAATGTAATATTTTCCTGACAAGTTTTCTCTACAAACGGAATGCCTAGCCTGTTTACACTACGCACACTAGAACCCAACTTGTAGTCATGCATTGACGAATTTATACCTCAAGATTAATTTTACAATTTCCAAAGCCTGCACAACTTTCGGCTTACGGCCGATTACATACATTGCAACGTGTTTGTTGCGAAACATAATTGCTTGTAAACGTTGATCATGCCTGATCTGGTGTGTCTCGGAAATTCGAGAATATACTATTTATTTACTTAAGAGCGCTAGCTGCATGGTGCGATACGTGGAAGTTGGCATTCACACCAGCAAAATGCAGTGTCCTTACATACAGGTGCACCACGCTACCCAATACCAGATTGTTACAAGGCACGTCATTAGGGAACTGCCTAACAGTACGTGACTTAGGCGCGCGCTACTCCTGTTCGCTGAACTTCACGGAACAAATAGTTTATGCTGCAGTTAAAGTACGCTCTCTCATCGGATACATCCTCAAAACCATGACAATACAATAATCTAGAGCTGCGCTCTACAAAACATGTGCCCGGCCTCTGCTAGGGTACTGCTCTATAGTATTCACCAACCTAAGAAAATGTGACAGAATAGCCCTCGAAAGGTCCAGCGTACCCTCACAAAACGCCTCCTGGGGCACTCAATTCTCAGCTACCGTGACCGATACAACACACTGAAGCTCGACCCGTTATGGCTGCGCCGACTGAAAACCAACTTCGCTTTCCTATACTCGCTTATTAACAAGCCCAATGGGAGCCCACTAACCCCTGTCTCAGACACATATGCCACTTCGTACCACTACGTGATAAACCACACCTCATTATTCTACCAAGAACGCGCAGTATTATTCGCTCCAACTTCTACCACTACAGATACGCGCACGTATGGAATAGGTTACCTCTCACAATAAGGGCATCGATGAATTTGAACCAGTTCAGCTTCTCTATTAGCAAATACCTCTCTGTTATTCAAGTCTCCAAACTGCTGAATATCAGCTGTCCTGAAGACGAGTTTTTTGAAACTGGACCAGACAACTTATAATCGCCTTTTCTTACCTTCCCACACCATCCCCTTCCCGACTCCTAATATTCCTACCTGCCTGCTTCCTCCACAACCCCTAAAGTCTTCCATCACCTATGCATCAGCCACTGGATCCCGAATGCCTGTGCTTTCTGTCAAACCCCCCACATCTGGCTAGCTCGAGACATCCGCCTCTAGCTAATCTCATTAACTTAGCTGGCTACTACGTAGATGGTGAAGCCGGCGTGCGCAGGACCTCAAGTACAAGTTGACCTTGCCCAAATATATCCAAATAGCCAAGCTGACACTGTTCGTTCTTATACTTGTAACCATATGAATCACGACAACATTGAATATTCTCTTTTAATCGCGCTTCCATTTGCCGTATATTCCTACTACTTCTCTTACTTGTTTGGCTCTGGCTTTCCACTCCCATTACGGAATGTCTACATCACTTACTTTCGCTGTCATGTTGACGCATTCTGTGACACTGTAGATATCCACTATTGACTAACCGTCATATTGGAATGGCTACATCTGGCCACTGATAGCATGTCCTAGCGCCACTATAGGTCGACCGACTTAAATTCAGTCTCTATTTAGAAGCAGCCAGTGGTCGTACGCCCCAAGCAGCTCTGCGCATATCCGGAGCTTAATAAGATCCACACTCTTTTATCTCCAACCTTCACCCTTTAGGACTATCTGAGTCAGCTACATCTGCTGTTTGTTGATTTATTCTGGGACAATTTAGGTATCCACCAGCAACTTGAAGGCTTCACCCCAATGCCATTGCTAGCCTTCGATACTCTCTCCCTTAGTACCATTATCAGTTCTTCGTATTACATAAGTCACCACTTTTCAGCTGCAGGGAGTCATTGTGCTAGGAGCCACTCCTTATCTCTACAACACTTACTCCCTTGAATTGGTTGCATCCCATACCTTCGCTGGTTTGATGACTCTTCTGTCACTGTAACTATCCACTAATAACTAGAAGGCTTAGTGCGAATTCAGTTTCTGTCCCCTCGTTCTCTCTCTTAGCACCATTATCCTTCGTTCCTCTTAAATTCATCACGTTTTCCGCAGGGATTCGTAGTAGGCTCCATACACCTTTGCGCTTATCCAGAACTACTATGAGACAATTCTTGTTTCTTCATCCTGTAATCCCTTAGAATGTCTGTATCACCTACCTTCGCTGGCTTGCTGATGTACTCTGTGACGCTGTAGGAATCCACTAGTGACCAAACGAATTAATGGAATGGTTACATCTGGTCACTTACAGTTTTTCATAGCACCATTATCTGTCAATCTTCTCAACCTCAGCACCGCTATTAAGTAGCAACTAGTGGCCGTAGGTTCCAATCATATGAGCATATCCGGAGCTTGCTAACAGCCACACGCTTTTATCTCCAATCTTCATCCTTTGGGACTGTCTACGTCACATACATTCGCTGTCTGTTGTTTTATTCTGGAACGCTTTAGGTATCCACTAGAAGGCTTCACCCCATGCAATTGCCAGCCGTCGATACTCTCTCCCTTAGTACCATTATCAGTTCTTCGTATTACATAGGTCACCATTTTTCAGCTGCAGTGACGCATCGTAGTTAGCAGGAGTCACTCCTTATCTCTCCAACACTTACTCTCTTGAGTTGTTTATATCACACCTTCGCTGGTTTGTTGACACCTTCTGTCACTGTAGGTATCCACTGGTAATTAGAAGGCTTAACCCGAATGCCTTTGTTGGCCGCTGATACTCTCTCTCCTAACGTCACTATCTCTCGCTCTTCTTATCTTCTTCACTACTGCAGCCATTCGCCGTATGCTCTATGTCCCTTATGCGCATACCTTGAGCTTCCTAGGATGCACTCCTTGTCTCTCCATCATACATTCTCCTGGAATATCTGTATCAGTTACCTTCGCTGGCTTGTTGATGCATTCAGTGACCCTATAGGCATGCACTAGTGACCAAGCGTCTGATTGGAATGGCTACATCTGGCCACTGATAGTTTTCCTAGCGTCACCATCTGGCGGTCATCCCAGATTCAGCGCCTCTGTTTAGAAGCAGCCGGTGGTCATAAGTTTCAAGCATATGCGATTTTCCAATGCTTGTTAGGAGCCACTCCGTATCTCAATAACCTTTATTCTTTAGAATGTCTGCATCCACTCTTTCCGCTGCCCTACCGCCAATTGACCTTTAGATCTCTCTCGCGGCAACCTATTTATTTTCACTTATTCTGCACTCCCTATCGTGTTACGCTAGCTACTTGCTGTTCATGCACCTTGCAACCACCACCAATATTCTAACTCTGTTTGCTCTCTCCCACGCAATTTTGGCTCATACTAAACCGATACTTCATAGGTTACTTACTGGTACAACGCTCTTGTCTCTACGCAGGCGTTAGCAATCTACACATACGGCTAATGATTCTATAGGATATGCAAGTGGCACTTTCAGAATAATTGTTGTTGCACAGCGTACATGCTTTTGTCTCAACTCCAAATGTTGTAACATAAGACTTTAACAATGCTAAACTCCACACCCGTTCTTGCGGTCTTCTCTCGGCTGTCCCTCACTTTTCCTTTTCTCCGGGGTCCGGAACCACTTGGAGACCTGGGCTTGGACTGATGAACAATTTTCGTCCAAGCCGGAAGTAACGACCAACAAGGACTTACATGGAGCATGGTTGAACCCCAAAATGACCAAACTACAATCACCACAACACTTGCCCAGTACGGAGAACTGGACACATCTGCATGCTCCCATAAATTATACATCTGAAAAATCCAGACAGCAGAAACTTTGAACTTTTGCTCACCTAGACCCACAACAAGACGAGTATTCGTGATGTTCCCTTCCTCAACCGGCCTCAAAAAGCATGGCGGCTCCGATCAAATTACCTGTCCAACTAACAGAGGAAATTAGTAGCCATTTGATTGCTAATAACCGATTATGAAATCAGTCGTCAATCGGCTTTGCCAGTTATACATTATTGTACCCAACG